AGTAAATATGAACAACTGAAAAAGTTCTAAAAATAACTGAATAGTGAATACAAAAAAAATCTAAAATCCTATATTTTATTTCAAAATCAAATGATTTGTTTTTGATCCGATACCCGGTCAGTTCAACCGGTTCATCAGATTACGGGTTAATGGCAGATTTTTGTGGGTTTTTTATTCGGCTTAGAAAAAACCGGGCATCTAAGCAAAAAAAAAAAAAAATTACCGGACATTAGCACTAAACCTAAACCGGAGAAGTGTACGGATCGCAGGTTAACTGATCATACTAAACGGTTCGGATCGGACGTGAAAACACTGATTTATACGTATATAAAGAAATTTATTGAAAGACACAAAATATTCAACCCTTTTAAAAATTGAACAATTTATTTACTTATAAAGAAAATTGTGACCATCAACCTTCTCCCGCGCCTATATCTAGTTTTCTTAGTGTTCCCCTTTTTTTTTTATTAATTAATTAGAGAGAATATGTAAATATCTTCTTCTTTATTTTGATTAAACAGGTAAAATATCCATTTATTTGGGGCATAGAAAAGGAAAATATCGTTTCAGCAAATACATGTTAAGGGCTATATATAATAATGTCTCGATAATATGGAAGTTATTTACTTAGTGTTCTCCGGAACAAATTCTCAGGGGCTCCTCAAGCTCCAAATTTTGTCTCAAATACTCCTCAATGGTAGAAAGACAAAATTACCCTTAATGAGGGTTGATTTCGGGTGATAAAGGTTAAATACAATTAAATCGGTAAGTGTTCAACGAAAAACACAATAGCTCAGTGGTTGCGAGCTCCATGCGCACGCGCACGCCCCCAGGGTTCGAATCCTTTTATACGGGTTGTAACTGGTACAACTAGGGAATATTCGGGTACAACTAAGTTGTGGTATAACTAGGGTCTGGTACAACTAGGGTCTGGTACAACTAGGGTACAACTAGGAGGTGGTACAACTAAGGTCTGGTACAACTAGGAGGGTACAACTAGGATACCAGTTGTACCACGTATACCTAGTAGAGGGGTAGTTTCGTCCTTTCATTAAAAGGAGGAGAGTATGTAGATTAGAGGAGAGTATATAGATTAATTCTTTGACTCTGAGGAGCAATTGAGATTAGTCTCCGTGTTCTCCTCTTTTTTTATTTATTTATTAATTAATTAGAGAGAATAGGTAAATATCTTCTTCTTTATTTTGAACAAACAGGTAAAATATCAATTTGTTTGGGACATAGAAAAGGAAAATCGTTTCAGCAAATACATGTTAGGGGCTTTTGCAAAAATGCCATTTTTTCAATGCCACTTTTCAAAAATACCCCTTTTTTTAAAACCTTATAAAAAATGCTCTTAAAAATATAAGATTTACCCAAATATGTATGTAATATTATTAAAATATACACAAACTACATTTCTATGTATCTAAAATCTTATAAATACTTTATAAATACCTTATAAATGCATTTTAAATACTTTTAAAAACCTTTAAAATATCTTGTAAAACCTTTGAAAAACCTTAAAAATTCTTTAAAATAACTTGTAAAACCTTTAAAAACACCTTATAAAACCTTATAAATACTTGGATCGAGTCTTCAAGTAGTAGTTACAATCCATAAGTACCTTATAAACCTAATAAAACTTTATAAAAATTTCAGATTTAAAAAGGGGCATTTTTGAAAATGGACATCTAAAAGAGGCATTTTTGAAAAGGGACACACCTACCAAAAGGAGTATTTTTAACAATTTCCCTACATGTTAAGGGCTATATATAATAATGTCTCAAACGTTTCAGAATTTCAAAGATCGTTTATCAACCATAGTACCTATACACACATCTAAACCATTAAAAAGGTAATTTTTTACTTAACGTCTCGATAATATGGAAGTTATTTACTTAGTGTTCTCATTGTTTTTATTATTTATTAATTAATTAGAAAGAATAGGTAAACATTTTTTTTTTTTTGAATAAACAGGTAAAATATCCATTTATTTGGGACATAGAAAAGGAAAATATTGTTTCACCAAATACATGTTAAGGGCTATATAATAATGTCTTGAACGTTTCAGAATTCTAAGATCGTTTATCAACCATACTACCTATACACACATCTAAACCATTAAAAAGGTAGTGTGTTAAGAAGATCCAACGGTGGAAAACAAGGCACTGATCTAAACCCTAAAAGCCAAGTCTGTCATTCGAAATATAAAAGGGTAGCCAATCATGTCAGGGCCTTGGTACTTGAGCAACACAAGCGTCTTCTGTCTCGTCGATGAAATCCCAACCCCTAGTGATCCCAATGGTCATTCGATTTCTTGTACTATCCGATTAGCTCTTGACAGAATGGGCTATCTTGGTCACAAGAAAATCTGGGCTTTTACCCCAAAGAAGCAGAGCTCCGCAGCAGCTGATCCCGAAATCTTGCACATATCAGGTAAATTCTTCCTTTACATAAACCCTTGTATCACTCTTTTCTTTCTTAATTATGTTATATATGCCTGTAATCTAGATCTCTCTCTTGATATATTTTTCCAGACTCTGAAGACTGTAGAGTTCGTAAGATGTTATTTCACATTATTACATTTGCATCTTCCTGTGATGTTGGTGAACAAAATAATGTGATAGTAATCTCAAATAAACCCCCAGAAGGCGAGTTTTGCAGGGTTCTTCACACTTTGGAAATTAGAGGTTTCAATGTTCTCTTGGTACAGCCTCATGATGAGGCACAAGTACTTCGTTCGGCAGACTTGATATTTCAGTGTACAACAGCGTTAGATGGTTCAAGTGGTCCTACTGACTTTGACAATATTGACCGTGTTTCTTATCCGAGCTGGGAAATTGATCCTGATCCTGATCCTGCCAACCTAGACGACTCAAGCAGTAGTCTCCACTTTTAGATGATATAAATCTCTATATGATGTGTCAAAATCTACCGGTTGTTTTTCTCTGTTGTGTATGATTACTCTTTGACGTTTCCATTCTGTAAAACTCTGCTTTGGTACCAATCAATTTTCAGTTTTATCTTTTCCCATTCCTCATTTTTGTAATTGTAGATTATAAATATTGTTTTAAGCCAGACAAACATAAGATTCCTAATACAATAAATGATAAACCTGTGAAATCGTCATCCATAAAATCAATCACTAATGTCAAATTAAGTGCAAAGGAACCTCCATTTCTCTGTTAATTCAAAGGAACCTCCATTTGTCCACTACTTAAAAAAATTAGGCCTGTCAGTTATGGATACAAGGTCGGGTAATAGTAACTTACTAGTTACTAACTTTGGTATCAAGGATAATGTCATTTGGGTTTCGTAAGGATAGTTCGGGTACCTCAGGCTCAAATCAGTAATCACTACCCGTTTAATACCCTAATTCATACATTGTATAGTGTTCATAACTTCTAGAAGAGATTTTAAATTTTAACTATTTTGTTAATTTTCGTGTTATGTGTTGACTATTTTGTTCCATATATTATAATAATTTCGTAAGAATAAACACACATTTTCAGTTCTTTTTTTTTTTTTTTTTTGTAAACCAAATCAAACAGAAAATATATATATGTTCAATGTAAAAATTTAAGCATAACTTGGTGATCACCAATTCCCAATATATGTATGATGATGGTTATGATTATTAAAAACCTTTTCGATTTCTTTTGCAAATATAAAGTGTGGCAGGGTTTAACCAACCCACGTTGGCCCAGTTGGTAAAGGGCTCACGGCTGTGAGTTCCCCCTCCTGGGTTCGATTCGGGTTGGCCACCTAGCCGCTCCCTTAACGATGAGATAAAGCGTACCCGGATGCAAGGCCTCGTGAATTAGTCTTTGGGCCTAGGAAGCCTTTGGGATCCCACGGTTATCAAAAATAAAATAAAATAAAGTGTGGCAAGGTTATCCATCACTCGTAAGGAGAGTAGTGAAACAGATTTTGTTGGATGTGAAGCGAATTAAAGATTTAGGAGTATAAAGCTGCATAAATGTTTGCTGTTGCTTGCCACTCCTAAAGGCTGCGACACCAACGACACCCCGATGCACCTCCACAACAGTCTTCTCCGTGAAGGACTGATAAAACTAAACAATGACAAGATAAACAACAATTATACAAAAAATTCTCATGTTTGATCTCTATAGATTACCATATTCAAGAATAAAGGAGTTCTAGTTACGTTTTATTTATTTATTTTGTAACTAGAATCATAATCTATCCAAACAAATGTTACAACTTACAACTATGATCCAATATTTCTTTTAAACATATATTAATTTAGTTTGATAGATTAAACAGAAGGACATGTACTAAGATAGATTATATATAGCCATAAATGAATTTTTAATTTGGGCAGGAGTTTCAACATGTCCGGAAACCATTGAAGGCATGTTGTGCAACAAAACGAGGCAACTCTCGCAGATCATCGAAATAGACGCCATCAGGTAGAGTTGTTCAATCAGGTTGAGTTTGAACGCTTTCACAAAACCTTAAGGAAAGCTTGAAGAAGATGGAAGAAGATAAACTTTCTCATTCAACTTAATTATCTCATACAAGAGTTTTGATATATAAAGAGGAAAGTAATCATAGAAAAGATGACGCGTGTCTGGCTAGTTGCACATTAATAACATCGCGTTTTTAAAATCCAATGTGGAGAGCCTCAGAAGCTTATGGCCTCGATTTTTATATAGTATAGATTAAACTTTTCATGTATGTAAATTAGTTTTTGATTTGATCAATAGGTCCAGAAATAATTTTAGTTGGATTCATTAGATTTAATGTTAAGATATATAATAGAATTTTATAAATTAGTAGGGGTCAGCTGACACCACTTGTCGTGTTACATCACGGTTTTGGAGATAGAGGCCTGTCGTCGTAAACTTTTCAGGCATGCACGATTATATTAGTACAAGAATATAATCACATTTCCTTTATATATATATATATATATAATCACATTTATTTTTGTTTCATAAATCATGTTACAAATAATCAGATAATGATGTGTTAGGTGTAAATGTATTTCGGCTAAATCATGTTTCAACTAACTTTGTTCACGATAAAGTATTCCAATTCTTCTACCATAGAAACTTTTTTCTTTTTTTTGTCATCATTCATCATCTGCAATTTTTCAAACATTTAAAGAAAATACTCTCCACCCGGATAAAACATTACTCATGATAATCTAATGTTATCAAGAAATGAGAAAATTTTCCCCACCGTCCAAGTCTCCAACCAATAATATTATTACACAAAAAAAAAAAAATTATTACAACTTCGGAATTAAATCAGCCAAAAATAGAGGAAATATTCAGGAAGAGAAATAAAGAGAAAGGAAAAAGGCCAAAAAAGAGATTTAATTAGTTGAGGACTCAATCATCTTCTTTTGCTGATTCAAGTTTTTGTAAAACTTCTTTACAAACTCATCCGCTGCCTTGTCCACATATCCGTTAGCCACGTCACAATCTTCCCGTAACGGAAACGGTGAGTCCGTTACCCGTAAAGGCCTCACTGACGGATTACTCCGTCCAAATCCGGGCAAGTAAGTAGATAACGCCGTCAAGGCCTCGACTGACAAAGGTGGGGTGTTATTTCCCTGATCATGATTTCCGCCGCTGTTGAGCAGCTCTAGGACGGCTCTGGAGACGGAAGTGTCGTCATCAAGGGTCGGTGGCGCGTGACCATACGAGAAGAGGCTGTTGTGGTGGCTCTTCTTCTTGGAGGCGGCCATGTTAGAGGGGAATGTGTAGTTAGGAGTGTCGCTGCAGCTAAACTCGTACTCTTTCTGCGGATGGGACGCAACAGCCGAGGCGGTGACTGGGACACGGCGGCGGTTGTGGAACATAAGATTCTTGCCGCGTTTGAGAGTGGCTTTAAAGTCGGCGAGGAGCCTTTGTTTTGAACATGTACAAGACAAAACGTACGATGTTCCCTAGCTTCTTGCCTATTGATACATTCTTCTCCATCTTTAGAATTAGAGATAGATAATGAGATCAATATGTGTGGGGTTTATAAAGAGGAAAGAAAGAGTAAGACTATTCAACAAAAAGAAGTACTTAAACGTGGAACATTACACAAACACTTTAATATGTTGTTAAGCCCAAATAATGAAAAAGAAGAAGAAAAATTGAATTCTTTTATGAACTTTAGTTGTACTTTAGATTGCACTATGTATTATAACCATCTAATATATGGATATCATCAGGTCGTGCTTTTCTATGTAAAATAAATTGACATACAAAAATTAACTAGTGGGTTTTCCCTTTTTTTTATTAGATGACTTGTATATACGCTTTACAACTGCATTTTTTATTTTAAATTTTTTTCGTTTTTGAAAAGGAATGAATAAAAACACTATATTATTGCCACTGTGGTAAACCTTTTTCCTTTTTACTTCCTAACTTTCTACTTTTTCTTGAAAGTTTAAATCCTTCACCAGACTGTAGTTACCATTGGTGCAATGTGTGCCACAAATTTATGCAACGAGATAAAAAAAAACATAAGTTTTATTGATAAAGAAGTTCCAAGTTTAAAAGAAATGCAAATTTAACCCAACTCTATACAAATTTCTGTAATTACCCTCTAATTTTATATAACCAGTAAGTGAAATTTTTCAAAGTTTTGTTTTAGGGAAAATCCACAAGACTGATCTAAAGATGAGAAAAATTATAGATGACTTTGGGTTATATGAGAAACATAATTGGGTGTATTACCTGCACGATGAATCTACAAATTCTCCTCCGTCTTCAGCTCGACTCGCTCTATCAACCTCTCCATGTAAGCCTGTAATAACAGTGAAGAAATTTCTATTAAGTAAGTTTTTAAGGATTTATCGTGAGAAACATAACATTTTGATTAGTTTATCCATTATTCGATCTCAGATTAAACTAATCTCAACTCCTAAATGCAAAATGTGACCATAATTGATGCTTGTGAAGCAAAAAAGGTGAAGGAGTTATAACCTTTATCTTGACAGCATCAGATAGAGAAGAGCTTAAATCCAAAGCAATGCCGAAATGTAACAGGGCTTTGTCGTATTGTTTTAGCTGATTGTATGTTTTGCCAAGCAACGCATGGACACTGCCCTCTTGAGGAAAACATTCTTTGAGCTCTTCTAAAACTTTCTGGGCTTTGTGATAATCACCGAGACTATTTAATATATTAGCTTTGAAGTACTTCGCGACCGGATTCTTCGCATCAGTGAGTACAGCCTTCTCCATCATCCTCAACGCCTCATTGTTCCTCTGCAAAATATTATCTCAACCTTAAGAAATTATATCTGGACTATAACTTTCTGGAAAGCTTAATTTCACAGCTAAATAAGTACATCACAAAGTCATGAAGAGTAATATATATGATATAAGTAATTGTTGACATGAAGAGCGTATTTCAGGTACCAACCTTTGACTCATGCAAAGCAATTCCATAGTAACACATGATGACTGAAGATCTTGGATTTATTTGGAGAGCCAGTTGAAATTGATGCTGCGCAAACTCGGATTTCTCCTGTCAAAGATAGATCCTTCCAAGACCGAACCAGGCGTTATAGTGTCTTGTATCTATGCCCAGAGCCTTCCGGAAGCATCTCTCTGCATCCTCAAATTCTTCCAATGCGGCAAACCTGTGCAGCCAAGGTGAGACCGGTATGTTATTAATGTACATGTTTTGTTATATGCAGATTAAGACAAACAAAAAGGTGCATCGAAAAGAATTGTACTCGTGACCACAAAAGGTATGCGCATATGTGAATCTTTCATTCAGTTGGATAGCTCTCCGAAACATTTTGAGAGCAGTATAATGATCCTTACGCAAACTGTAACAGTTCCCAACAGCACACCTGCAATTCATATTGCTACCACAGTCATTACAGAAAAACAATCCAAGCAAAGAGAAAAGCTCTGCAGTTTCAGGTTTTGAAATATGCTAGTACAAAAAGCTGGTTTCTATAGACGGTTTGGGGTTAAAGCCTGTGGGTGTTAAAGTCTCGACAGAGACATATGTTGTTGATCATGTAGGTTTTGCGAAACAAAGTCGGAAGAGCATGT